ACTAGGAATAGCTAGCAACAACTTCAGCAGTCAGTCTTGCACGCACTCATGCATGGGTGCCTCCAGACTCCTGCCCACCACGGCTTCTTCTCCAATTCTCTGAGTCTCCATGTGCCTTTCTCTCTACTTGACAGTCCAGACTCCCCCAGTATGAGCCTGGGTCCAAGGTGTTTTGTCCAGAACTGGGGTTCAGTGCAGTTGGAACTGAGGTTCAGTGCAGTCAGAGGCTGCCTTACCTCTCCTGACAAACAACACCAACCAGGCACTCAACCACCCTTCCTCTCTAACGTGTGTGTGTCCATACAGCTCTCATTCTCCGTGTGCTTTCCTCTTTCCTTACAATTGTAGAATTTCCACTCTGTCAGCTTTCCTGTGATTCCGGATGATGTTCGTTCTGCATTTTACTTGTAGTTTTGAAATTGTTGTGCAAGGCAACAGTTTAGGTGTTTACAAATGCCACCATCTTGGTTTCTTCTTGTTTCATTTTTATACTTTTCAGTATATTTTTCAAATATTCTATATAATAAAGAGGCAATATATAAATTAACCCTCACACCCTCACAAGATGGCCTCCAAAAACCAGGCCATCGAGGGGATAGTGAGGGACAACCAAACAACTGAACATCAGGCTAAGTAGAGTGACCAGGCTGGTGGGGGAGCCATAAGGGGGCAGTAAGAGGCAACCAGGCCAGCAGTGGGGAAGTTGAAGGCGACAGGGGGGTGGGCAGTTAGGGGCAACCAGGCCAGCAAAGGGGAGCAGTTGTGGGCAACCAGGTAGTCAAGCAGGTGAGTGATTAGGAGCCAGTGGTCTAAGATCAGGTCTAAACTGGCAGTCAGACATCCCCTGAGGGGTCCCAAATTGGAGAGGGTGCAGGCTGGGCTGAGGGGACAGCCCCCATGCACAAATTTTATGCATTGGGCCTCTAGTTCTATAATAAACATATTTTACAATTAAAATATGCAATAAAATAATAATAACAGAACTTTTAGTGAAGCATAGTGCAAAGAAAATACATATACTTAATCACCTTAATTTGTATGAACCACTAGTAAAAGATGAGAGAGAAAAACACTCTTATTAGCACCACAGTGGAAAATAATAGCTTCATTATGTTTATCTTTTTCTTTTTAAGTCCAGACCATGCAAAATTCAAAAATATAATGTAGGAATCTTGATATTAATGTATACTTGGACATTATTAAATCTATGCTATTTAATTCAAGTGTTAAATTTTTGTAATGTGCTAGAGCATAATAAATAAACCACACCTTCCTATTTCTGAGCTAGAGGCCAAAACACTCGGATAGGCTCTTCAAGTATGCTCCCCTCTAAATAACTATTAACTTCAGTGAAGAGCTCTGATCATTTTCCCAATTACTCTGTAAAAGCTATATGACAAAAAGGCATCATAAGGACTAAACTACATAACAATCAACAAAGATGTTTTAAAGAATTTGCTGTGTTCTGCATCCCTTGAAGAAAAGCATACTTCAAAATCCATGTGTTTAATACTTAAATTCTTTTTATTATTGAAATTTAAAAACATACACTACTGAAAATACAAAACATAAAATTTGATGTATTGCATAATTGCGTTGAAGTTATTACTACAGGTTGACCTAATACATGGGCCAGTGGGTATAAACACCTCATCAAGTGACAGTTTATACTTTTTTTTTTCAGGAGCCTTCAATTCCTTTTTAAATCAGGCTTCTCTCTTATCACATTTTCCTTGAGGCCTTTGGAGGGCAAGGACAACAGCATTCTAGGCCCCCACAGAAATGGGAATTTGCATCATTTGACTATCTATGTTGTCACTTAGCTTGACACTTGGGGCCATTACCCCTTGCTGCTTAGGAAAGCCCCTACTTATCTGATTCTGCCACCTTGAAGAAAAAGAGCAAACTTGTCCTGGATGAGAAAGAACTACCAGAGGAGGAAGTGGCCACCTCTGCAGCAGAGGAGGAAGAGATGATGACCTCCTCTGTAGAGTTGGGGTCCTTAGAGGGATCAGCTGGCCACAGCCTCGGATCACAGATAATAGGAATAGCGCACTAGAATAGTGAAGAAAAAGACTCCTTATAAGCTATGCTCACTCACTGGCCCCTGTGATTGAGCTGTGTTATCAGTCAGTTTCTTTTTCTAATTCATTGGCTGAGCAAGTTTGATGGTCAAACTGCAGCCCAATGTCCACTAGCCAGGGAGGTCACAGCCCATAATAGACCACTTGCATTTCCAGAATCCTAGCTTTACTGATGAAAATTTCCTTGGCACCTGCTGCCAATCCCCCAAGCTTAACCTGAAAATGTAAAAATATCAATAATCTGCTTTCCATGTATCCTCTTACACCCCCCAACTTGAATTCACCTTTTGATTTGAGCTATGAACTTGTGGTAAAACCCAATAAAGCAACAGACTGGGAGAAAAATACACCAATCTATCTACAGGGCATATCTTGCTGTAGTATGGTTTTGAATGAATTTTATGTTCAGCATTTCTGCTTCTATTTTGCAAATATTGAAAAATGACAGTCACTCCTTTAAGAATGGAAAATATAGCCCTAGCCAGATTGGCTTAGTGCACAGAGCATCCATCAGCCCACTATCTGAAGAGTCCTGGGTTCAATTCTGGTCAAGACCTTGGTTGGAGGTTCCAACTTACTCAGAGCTCTCATGGGAGGCAACCAATCAATGTGTCTCTCTCATTGATGTTCTCTCTCTCTCTCTCTCTCTCTCTCTCTCTCTCTCTCTCTCTCTCTCTCTCTCTCTCTCCCTCCCCACAACTCAATCTAAAAATCAATGGGAAAATATCCTCAAGTGATCCCCCCACCCGCATATATCTGAATTGGGGACCTCTGTAGCAATGAGTCAGATACACCATATTTATTATAGTTTTTTTGGGGGGCCCTGGCATATAAGTAAATCTGCTGCCATTCCCATTTTTTGTTGTATGCAAAAATCTCAGAAATAAAACAAATGTGTTCTCAAAATTGCAATATGATGGCTAAGAACAATCAGCTGCTTCCTGATTTTGTATAAATCCTAACAACATGAATATCCAAACATTTGTAATTGTTTATGGGTTGTAAGATCTTTGCATTTATAGATATGGTGGTGATGGTGGTGGGAGACTATTGTTAAGTAGTTATAAAAGCAAAATACTAAACTATATATGGTGGGATTTGGGAAAATCTATCAGGTAATTTCATTACCTAGATACCCAGGAATTCCCAAATCCTGTCTTCCTCCTACCACATCTCTCTCCTGTAAGATATTGAAGGAAAATAAACACCTGTGGTAAAGGAAAAGGCAAATATTAAATAAAATAGTACTTTAGTATTTATTGTGATTGTGCCTTGTGCCCAGAGCAAAACCTATAATAGACTGAGTTTATGGGTCCTCCTCCTCACACCAATTTCAAATCAAAATCTTAAGATCAAATTACCTTGTAAGCAACTGCACTGTATAGAAGGCTTGAGAGGATGATCTTACCCCCCCCCCAAAAAAAAAAAAAAAAAAAAGCCCAACTTGGGAGTGTGACCTCCTCCCCAGTCAAGGTGGAGCATGGACCTGTGTCATTTTCCCATTCTGCTCTTGGAAGTGAAAGCAACTGCTTATATACAAGTCCTTTTTGAGTGAAGTAGTCCTGCCCTCTGCCCTCCCCCTCCTCTTCTTCCTGCCCTCCCATCCTTTCATTTTTCACTCTCCTCCCTTTTCCTCTTCTCCCTTTTCCCCATTCTCCTCTCCCATTCTCTTTTCCTGCCTTCCTCCCCCATTCTCTTTTCCCTTCCTCCTCCTTTCCACCCTCTTCCCCTTATACTTCCCTTCCATTTCCTTACTCTTTCCTCCTCCTCACTCTACTCAACTAATTCTCCCCCTCCCTCTTCAGTTTCTCTTTTTCCATCTTCCTCCATTTTCCCTCCCTCTCCCATATCCACTTCTCCTCTTTCTCTCTTGTCTTATTTCCTCACCAGTCCCATTTCTCTACCTCTCCCCCTCCCACTCACTCTAAAAACCAATGGAATTTTCAGGGAAACATAGAACAATGTTATCGATATAATAGTTATATTTTAAAATTCCATTTTCCTCAGTATTTTCTACTTCTTCTATAATTAGCACTATTTTTTATAATAAGGAAATAGTTAGATTTTTACAGCATGATACACTTTATTTGACATTTGTTTATTTTAAGTTTCAATAGAAGTACATGAAAAATATCAAATGATGTAAAGTGATAATTTTCAGTGAAAGGCAAATTAGAGCATATTACAAATGTTGTTAGTAACTTTACAATTACACAGCATAAAATGAGAAAACTTTTTAAAATACTATGTCATATTAACACCTCAGTGGTAAACAATTATTCAGTGGTAAACAATTATTTCATTGTGATTAAATTTATAGAACACTGTCACATAAATAAAATCATAGTCATATATATATATATGACTATATATATATATAGTCTGGATGGACATTCTTAAATATATGCTATTTTTTTGCAAGCAGTCAAATTTCACAATGCACTGTTCTAGTTAATATAAGTACTGTATTTCTATAGCAAAATAATGAAGGCACAGCTAGTGCAAGCAGATTTAAATCCTTAGACTTACGGGCTGGAAAAAATAACAACACCTGCATTGGTACTTCAAGAACATTGTTTCGTTCAAGTAAATATTTATCTCAGTTAATTGTGACAGTTTTCACACATACATTCTAATAGAAACATGACAAAAGGACTTCACAAAAATAAAAACTCTGTAGCACCAAATTAACATGCTTTAAATAACTGACAGAAGTTTACAGGTTTTGGAGAATATCACACTGGAACAGGCTATATAGAATAAACTGATACTTAGACACTTTAAGATAATTTTTTTTAGACTACTAAGAAAATACAAAACCACAAGACTGTAAGGAATGCTAGTGATGAGGTGATAGAACAGGTTTCACTTCTTCTTGAACTTTTGAGATCCTGAAAAATTTTTCAGGCAGGCTCTTTATTTTCGGTATTTCCTGTTTCCATAATCTTTATTATTGTAATAGATACGCTTGACTTCTCCTGTAAAGTAATAGATTGATTTCAGAATGACATTATCATGTAAAATTTGCCCAATTTCAAAGTCTTCATCAAGGATAGCATCTTGTCTAGGCTCCCGCTTTCCAACCTTCGGAATCTCAGGAGGGCTGAAGAAATTGAAGAATGATGAATTGGGAACAACTCTTGGCTTGTACTCAATTTCTCCAGTGGCAGTTGTGCGACTGTAGGTGGTTGTCAAGGTAACATCTTTTCCTCTTCTCCAATCTATCTTACAACCTTTGCAGTCATAGATTTCCCATCCCCAAGTGAAGAAGGGATCATTGTAATCTGGCTTTGATTTTATTATATAGGTCTTGGTCAGCACCTCATTTCTGAAGTATGGATTGGGCAGAAAATAAAAATTAAATGTGTAACTTATAGGCTGGCCACGTTTTGAGAACTTCAAGCTAATATCTGACAAGAACTTCAGTATGGGCTCATCATACTTCTGAATCAAGGGCCGGAGCTTGTCAACATTCTTTAAAACAGTCAGCCAATAGTTGGGGATGCCTTTAGGATCTTCTTTCTTAGGCTTTCCCTTGCGAGCTCTTTTCAGATTCACTCTTTCTTTAGGCCTGACCTCATGAACTCTTTTAGGAGCTTCTTTTATTGCGGCCCTTTCCTTACCCTCAGCTGCTTTAGACTGTTCTTTCTCTTCTGCCTTTGCCTGGGGGACTTCTTTAGGATCTTCATTGACTTCAGTCTTTGCCTCCAGATCTTTGGACTGGGCTTTTTCTTCAGACTTTGCCTCAGGAACTTCTTTAGGAACCTCCGTATCTTCAGCCTTTACTTTGAGTTTTTCTTTAGGACCCTCTTCTTCCTCACCCTCTAAGGCAGGCATTTCACTAGGGCTGTCATCCTGCACCTCTTCATCACTGCTGAACACCTCATCATCTGAATTCCATTCGCATTCTTCTATTGTGGGCTCATATTCTGCATTTATGATTTGAGATCGCCGATCGTATAGAGGCTTATTGAGATCGGCATATTTTCTTTCAAGACCATGAATTGCCTTTAAGAATAGGGCGTCTACCTTGTCACATTCATCTTGAATGTTTCTGAGCGCCTGCACACGATTTCGAACCGCCTGTGGCAGCTGATCCACAAAACTGTTACCCGATGGAGCCCACCGCGCCCTTCTAGAAGGCTCTGGCACCCTCCTCTTTCCTTGTAAAAGGCTGAGACTACTGCTGCCGCTGGTGCTGCTGCCGCTGCTGCTGCTGCTGCTGCCGCTGCTGCTGCTGCCGCTGCTGCTGCTGCCGCCGCTGCTGCTGCTGCCGCTGCTGCTGCTACCAGTGCTGCCACTAGAGCTACTGCTGTCAGATTCTTCCCCAGAATCACTAGCCAAGCAAGCCTTCACCTCTTCAGCGACCCCCTGGGCAGCAGGTTCTGAGACCATGTTAAGATCTGCTTCTGCCATTTTGCAAGCCTGCAAACCTCTTAAGGTGACAACTACCGCTGAAACCACGCGCCCAGAGAAGGACAGAAAATGACTCACGGATGCTTGGGTGGCAGAGGTTCCGGATGAGAAGGCTGTGCGGCAACTGCAGCAGTAGCGCAGGGCTGGCTGGCTGGACAGCTGGACAGCGGCGATCGATCGCGTGAAGGTAGCTAACAGTGGCAGTGGAGACCTGTGCTAGAGCAGCGGTAACAACGCTCTCCCGGGTCGCCACAGCAGCGGACAGAGGCCTGAGGCAGCTGGATGGTGCAGTGAGACCCCGAGATCTCTCCAATGTTTTGATCACAATCCTCCTCTCCTTTCAGTTCTACCTCCCCGTTAATTTAGTTCCCAGTGTTCCTTTAGCTAGCACCTCATTTGCTGGGCAAGCTTGATTGACAATAGCTAAGCCCAATGAATGACCAAACATACTCCCCCTCCAGGCTCCGCCCACCTCCCCAGCCGCTCCTCGCTCCTGTGTAGCTGAGGCACACATCCCTGAAGACGTTTTTCCTCAAAATTCTATTTTATAGTTTCATAATTTTAAAGGAAACGCTTAGATAGGTGGTAAAAATACTAGCCATTGTTTCTAACAAGGGAAGAGGAGTATCCTCCCGTCCGCCCATCCAGAACTCCTGTTTGGCCTCTCACAAAAATCTGTTTTTAAACAACTGGATGAAAATACTCCAAATGCATCATTGGGCAGTGTGATTATGTATGCTTTTAAAAATCTCTTTATCGAAGTATTCTAAAAGCATGTGTTTTTACACTGAAAATAAAGGGGCAATCGTTTATTGGCAAAGGAGGGAGGGGCTAGAAAGCAGGCATATTGCATTCCACATAGCAGTTTTAATAAGTGCTGTCTGTGATGTTTGGCAAGCCTGGTTTATATCCATCTACAAGGTTTGCGAACCCATGTTGCCGTGAGTCAGTTACACCATTTTTACTGTATTTCTCTTTTTAAGCTGGCATATAATATACCCCAACTTTGCTGATGACTTGCCTAGTAGCCTTTCTCAATGCTAACAACAGCCTTGCAGATAAAATAAAAGAGTATTCATTGTTAGGTAGTATTATTTAAAGGCAGACTGTTTGATCTATGTACTTTTTTGCAGCAGTTTTTAATTCCAGGAACAGCAAGATGGGAGTGGGGATTTGTGCTAGTGAAAGTGCATCCTCAATCAGGGTATACTTTACAATGTCTTCTGCCACCAATTTCCTTCTAACATTGTGAATTCTAGCCAAACTGCAGTATACAGTACAAGTCCATTAATATGTGAATAAACTTTTGAAAAATGAACTTTAAAAACAGGTATGTGTTATTTTTATTTACAGGATTCTTTTCTGCTACAGAACAGCTCTCTTGGTACAACCCCCAAAAACAGTGTTTACTTTTCATTGAAAGGTAAGGAACATATTTTAGCCCATTTTTATGAATGACAAAAATTACCTATCTGTAAATGAATAAAATTTCACAGGATATCATCTTTTAAATATTTAATTGGAAGATATTTTGATATTTCTATGGAAAGAGAAAAGTCCACAGAGATTATTTGATATACTGATGTAGAAAATAACCTAATTACTCACATTCACTATCTAAACCTGCTCACAGAATACAAGTAGTGGATCAAAAAATAAAATGTGTTGAATTATTCATTTCAAATGAGTAAAAATATTAAAGTTAGATTAACCTTTATGTTATTTTTATTATAGGATTTGTGCTTTGTCATTTAGTCATCATAAGTTAGGGAATACTTTTATTTTCTATTTTGTAAATTAATTTTATTGCTTATTTCTTATTGTCAAAGTATATAAGCATTTAAAAATATATAATATAGAAAATTTCAATGATAGTAAAAATGCAGTCTTAGCAACCAAATTATAAATGTTGTTAGCATTTTGACGCATGTCCTTCCAGAAATATTTTTATACATATACACAGCAGCCTATTTAGAGATGACATTTTATCTATGTGACATCACATTATATTTTGCAATCAGCTCATTTATCGATTGATTTCAGCTATATTTTCATGGTAAATGATCAACATCTTATTTTAAACTAGATTCATATTCCATGGAAATATTTACCTCAATTTATTTGACCAGATTACTGTTGTAAGGCAGATACTTCCCACACCATCTCTCCAATAACTTACATATTTTTTCCTGTTATTAAAAAAATTAATTCTGCATACTTACTACACAGGCTTATAACAATTAGTCACAGGATGAATTCCTAGAGATAGTAGTGCTAGAATAAATTGTACACTCATTTTTTCTTTGATTCATATTGCCAAACTTCTCCACAGAAAATTTATCTTAATTTACAGTCACAGCAAGAATGCATATGAGCTCATTTATTTAGTCATTCAGCTAATATATTTTTGTAGCTACCATGTGCCAGGTGCATGTGGTAGAAGATGACGATATAATGGTGAATAAAATTTACTATGTGTGTATTCTTTCATTTCATATTTTTACTCAAAACATATACTATGGAAAACAGTGGGTTTATGCCACAAATATTGCACTATAACTTATTCTTATTTAAATGGTGAATATCTATTTTAATGAGTGCTCTTATATTTTATAGTACTTTGTTTAAAATGCATGCTAAATTTTGTAAAATCAGGAAAGTATTTTGCAGTAAGTACTGCATTATATATATTACTAGACAACTAGTTTTCTTGGTGACATTTATTTTATAATCTTATTTGAAAAAATATCACTTTTATCATATTAACTGAATTGCTTGGTTTTGTTTCTGAATTTTCTTATTTGTTGGCCATAATGTTTTTGCAAACAATTAATAAGGCAATTTTTTTTTACTAATTTTATATTTTGTCAAAATTATATACATGGGAAAAAGTCAGATAGTACATTGAAATTTACATAAGAAATTAAAAGTAACTCAAAACAACCCTGGCTGGTGTGGCTCAGTTGGTTAGAGCTTCCTGTGCACCGAAGTGTTGCCATGTTTCTCTCTCTCTCTCTCTTCCTACCCTTCTATTTAAAATCAGGAAAACATATCTTGGGGTGAGGATTAAAATAAAATAACTCAAAAGACACAGAGAGGAGATCATTATTCACATTTTTAATGAATATCACCAAATTAACTTTTCATTATTATGTATTTGTATTTCCTAGATTAGTGATAAAATTAAATGTCTTTCCATATGTTTATTGTTTATTTGAACATTGCCTTTTCATACTCCTTGCTTGTTTATCACTGAAATAATAAAGAAATTAATTGATGGTGAAATCCTAAAGATAAAATAATTTTGGCCTTGATTTGAGGTAATTGTGACTCTTAGAAAATATCCTTTTCTAAGTTAATGGTATTTGACAAATATGGCCCAATTACAGCTTTCATTCTAAAATTATCAATTCAGAGGGTTGTTTAGATGCTTTTCAAGAATTAGTACTTAATCACTTAAACTGACACAGAAAAGTTTAGAGTGAAACACAGAATAAAAATAGACAAAAACTTGTGAAAACCTCATACAAAGGTAATACATTAATAAACTATTCATATTTTCAGTTTGGAAGTATTTTTATAAGCCATAGAATATAGGTTACTTCTAACCACAACAGTCTATTTTTTAAAAATTACATTCAATATTTTATATTAGTTTCAGGTGCATAGCATAGTGGTTAGACAATCATATACTTTACAAAGTGTCCCCCCCCCTTATTTTCAGTACCCACGTGACACCATACACAGTTATATCAATATTATTCACTACTAGAGGCCTGATGCAAGGGCCTCAGCCCCTGCCACAGTAGCAGCTGCCTCAGCTCCCACCGCTGCAGCTTTGTCCAGGAGGTCATCTGTAAGGCCATCAGGAAGGACATCTAGTCTAATTAGCAATTATGTTTTTATTATCCTATCTAAGAAAAGAGTAATATGCAGATTGACCATCACTCCAACACACAAGATGGCTGCCCCATGTGGTCAAAGATCCTGTCTCCATGTGGACATAAGGTGGCCACCACAAGATGGCCAGCAGTGGAGGGCAGTTGGGAGGCACCAGGCCTGCAAGGGAGGGCAGTTGAGAGGGACCAGGCAAGCAAGGGAGGGCAGTTGGAGGTAATCAACCCTGCAGGGAAGGGTATTTAGGGGTGACCAGGCCAGCAGAGGAGGGAAGTGGGGGCAAACAGGCTGGCAGGGGAGCAGTTAGACATCAATCAGGCTGGCATAGGAGTGGTTAGGGGGTGATCAGGCTGGCAGGCAGAAGCAGTTAGGGGCAATCAGGCAGGCAGGCAGGTAGGCAGTCAAGCAGTTGGGAGCCAGCAGTCCTGGGTTGTGAGAGGGATGTCCAGCTGCCCATTTAGCCATACATCCCTTGGGAGGTCCCAGATTGGAGAGGGTGCAGGTTGGGCTGAGGGACACCCCCCTTCCATGCACGAATTTTGTGCACCGAGCCTCTAGTTATAGATATTTTCTATGCTGTACTTTACATCTCTATGAGTATTTATAACTACCAATTTTTACTTCTCAATTCCTTTAACATTTTTACCCAGTCCCTCAACCCTCCTTCCCGCTGGTAACCATCAGTCTGTTTCCTGTGTCTGTGAGTCTGTTTCCATTTTGTTTGTGCCAAAAACATTAATCTAAAATAATATACAGGGTTGGGCAAAGTAGATGTACATTTGTGAGTACATGAAACAGTTTTTTTGTATTATTATTTATTTCTTAATTATTGTATTATTTATTTGTCTTATTATTAATGTTATTATTTTGTATCCTTACTTATGATTCATTTTTTTAGGTAATGATATCTGGTAACTTGACCTACTTTTGCCCACCCCTGCTTGCAACCCTATGTTCATTGCAGCATCATGTATAATAGCCAAGTTATGGAAGCAACGTAAGTGCCCATCAATAGACAAGTAAATAAAAGCTGTGGGACATATACACCAGTACAATGTAATATTACTCAGCCACAATGTTCTACTTTTAATGTATGTGCACTA